GGTCCATATATTCCACAAGATGTTCTACATTTCAGCTAATGGGATACAAATCACTATACACCCAAATCTAGTGAGGTCATCTATCTGGTGTTGTCTGTCAGGCTGAGATGAGATACAAGTCAATATACACCCAGATCTAGTGAGGTCATCTGCCTGTCAGGCTGAGATACAAGACAATATACACCCAGATCTAGTGAGGTCATCTACCCCGTGTTGTCTGTCTAGCTGAGATGAGACACAAGTCAATATACACCCAGATCTAGTGAGGTCATCTATCTGGTGTTGACTGTCTGGTTGAGATGAGACACAAGTCAATATACACCCCAATCTAGTGAGGTCATCTGTCTGGTGTTGTCTGTCTGGCTGAGAGTGAGTGAGTTTGGTTTTACGCCGCTTTTAGCAATATTCCAGCAACATCACGGCGGGGGACACCAGAAATGGGCTTCACACATTGTGCCCATTTGGGGATTCGAACCCAGGTCTTCGGTGTGACGAACCAACGCTTTAACCATTAGGCTACCCCACCGCCCCTCGTCTGGCTGAGATAAGATACAAGTCAATATACACGCCGATCTAGTGAGGTCATCTGTCTGGTGTTGACTGTTTGGCTGAGATGAGACACAAGTCAATATACACGCCGATCTAGTGAGGTCATCTATCTGGTGTTGACTGTTTGGCTGTGTGAGACACAAGTCAATATACACGCCGATCTAGTGAGGTCATGTATCTGGTGTTGACTGTCTGGCTGAGATGAGACACAAGTCAATATACACCCAGATCTAGTGTTAACTGTCTGTCTGTGAGATACAAGTCAATCATCTATCTGGTGTTGACTGTCTGGCTGAGATGAGACACAAGTCAATATATACATCCCGATCTAGTGAGGTCATCTATCTGGTGTTAACTGTCTGTCTGAGACGAGATACAAGTCAATATACACCCAGATCTAGTGAGGTCATCTACCCCGTGTTGACTGTCTGTCTGAGATGAGATACAAGTCAATATACACCCAGATCTAGTTAGGTCGTCTACTTGTCTAGCTGAGATGAGACACAAGTCAGTACCCAGCACACATGATACAGGCTGACATAACGTCAGCGGTCTGACACCAGCCATGTCCCTGTATGTAACACTGAAGGAATGCTACAACAATCCAAGCAGGTTACACCCACAATCTGTAGAGCGGACACCAGGTGGGCTCACCTGTCCCTTCATCACGATGTCCCTGCAGCTGCTGTAGCTAATGATTTCCCCCACAATGAGCAATGTTGCCATACATATGACAGCATAAGGCGGAGCACTGTGTCCGCCTGTTATTACCAACAAGGAGGCCATGAGCTGAGACCCGCCCTGACTGCTGCAAGAATGCCAACAAAAGATAACACTCCTATTAGCATCACATGGTCAAGTTAGCATCATGGTCAAGTTGTTTGTGTGTGAACAAGATATTGTAACGTCAGCAGCATCACAAGACAGGACAGGTAAGATATAAATATTAAAGAAAGGCACTTGATGACAAACATGAAGTTTTAATTCTTCGCTGCAAAGATTGAAAACTGAGTGCTGTGGTGAGTGTTGTTTAAATCAGCACCAGTCAAACACCTACTGGCCTCCTGTGACAGGCTACCTGGGTAACCCCACAGGTGAGTCTGAACCCGGAAAATCAGATGGCATGTTATAGGGGACCTTGTGGTAACCTGGGTAACCCCACAGGTGAGTCTGAACCCGGATAATCAGATGGTGTGTTATAGGGGACCTTGAGGTAACCTGGGTAACCCCACAGGTGAGTTTGAACCTGGATAATCAGATGGCATGTTAAAGGGGACCTGGAGGTAACCTGGGTAACCCCACAGGTGAGTCTGAACCCGGATAATCAGATGGTGTGTTATAGGGGACCTTGAGGTAACCTGGGTAACCCCACAGGTGAGTCTGAACCTGGATAATCAGATGGCATGTTATAGGGGACCTGGAGGTAACCTGGGTAACCCCACAGGTGAGTTTGAACCTGGATAATCAGATGGCATGTTATAGGGGACCTGGAGGTAACCTGGGTAACCCCACAGGTGAGTCTGAACCCGGATAATCAGATGGCATGTTATAGGGGACCTGGAGGTAACCTGGGTAACCCCACAGGTGAGTCTGAACCCGGATAATCAGATGGCATGTTATAGGGGACCTGGAGGTAACCTGGGTAACCCCACAGGTGAGTCTGCACCCGGATAATCAGATGGCATGTTATAGGGGACCTGGAGGTAACCCTGGTAACCCCACAGGTGAGTCTGAACCTGGATAATCAGATGGCATGTTATAGGGGACCTTGAGGTTACCTGGGTAACCCTGCAGGTGAGTCTGAACCTGGATAATCAGAAGCCCTGAGATAGGAGATCTGTATATCACCGGGGTAACCCTGCAGGTGAGTCTGAACCTGGATAATCAGAAGCCCTGAGATAGGAGATCTGTATATCACCGGGGTAACCCTGCAGGTGAGTCTGAACCTGGATAATCAGAAGCCCTGAGATATTAGGAGATCTGTATATCACCGGGGTAACCCTGCAGGTGAGTCTGAACCTGGATAATCAGAAGCCCTGAGATAGGAGATCTGTATATCACCGGGGTAACCCTGCAGGTGAGTCTGAACCTGGATAATCAGAAGCCCTGAGATATTAGGAGATCTGTATATCACCGGGGTAACCCTGCAGGTGAGTCTGAACCTGGATAATCAGAAGCCCTGAGACAGGAGATCTGTATATCACCGGGGTAACCCTGCAGGTCAGTCAGAAGCTTTATGTTCAGATACTTGTGACAGGCGACCTGAAATGTCACGACACACGTTTCACAAGAGCACCTGCTGTCAGCTCACATGTACAACAGCTCAATAAGAAGCTGAGATGCCAACGTTTGACTACTGTATAACCTGGTCAGCACTAAGATGTTGATGGGAAGGACCTGTAGAACAGGCCTAACTCCATACACTAAATACTCCAGACTGTCGGAACTTGCTACACTTGTTGAGTATGTCTGACTTCCCCAGGTTAATCTGAAGCCCCCTAATTCTTAAACACAAGACGAGGGATGTGCAACTCTTACTGTAATGACAACACTTGTCTTACTACAGACAGGAATATATTAAACACTGCTCTACTACAGACAGGAATATATTAAACACTGCTCTACTACTGACAGGAATATATTAAACACTGCTCTACTACAGACAAGAATATATTAAACACTGCTCTACTACAGACAGGAATATATTAAACACTGCTCTACTACTGACAGGAATATATTAAACACTGCTCTACTACAGACAAGAATATATTAAACACTGCTCTACTACAGACAGGAATATATTAAACACTGCTCTACTACAGACAAAAATATATTAAACACTGCTCTACTACTGACACAAATATATTAAACACTGGTCTTACTACAGACAGGAATATATTAAACACTGGTCTTACTACAGACAAGAATATATTAAACACTGGTCTTACTACAGACAAGAATATATTAAACACTGGTCTTACTACAGACAGGAATATATTAAACACTGGTCTTACTACAGACAAGAATATATTAAACACTGGTCTACTACAGACAAGAATATATTAAACACTGGTCTTACTACAGACAGGAATATACTAAACACTGGTCTTACTACAGACAAGAATATATTAAACACTGGTCTACTACAGACAAGAATATATTAAACACTGGTCTTACTACTGACAAGAATATATTAAACATTGGTCTTACTACAGACAGGAATATATTAAACACTGGTCTTACTACAGACAGGAATATATGTTAACACTGGTCTTACTACAGACAGGAATATATGTCAACACAGGTCTTACTACAGACAGGAATATATGTCAACACTGGTCTTACTACAGGCAGGAATATATGTCAACACTGGTCTTACTACAGGCAGGAATATATGTCAACACTGGTCTTACTACAGACAGGAATATATGTCAACACTGGTCTTACTACAGACAGGAATATATTAAACACTGGTCTTACTACAGACAGGAATATATGTCAACACTGGTCTTACTACAGACAGGAATATATGTCAACACTGGTCTCACTACAGACAGGAATATATGTCAACACTGGTCTTACTACAGACAGGAATATATGTCAACACTGGTCTTACTACAGACAGGAATATATGTCAACACTGGTCTTACTACAGACAGGAATATATGTCAACACTGGTCTTACTACAGACAGGAATATATGTCAACACTGGTCTTACTACAGACAGGAATATATGTCAACATCCTGTTCTAATGATAAATATAATAAGAGTAAGAACTATGTAACCATGGCAACTGTAATAACACAACTACAGTTCATGTTCAACAAGTGTTGAGACGGTCCCCCGTTACGCGTACAAGTGACTACCTGAGAGCGGGTCACTCATTCGCGTGACTGCCTGATCACAGACAGGGAATTTTGCATGTCACACAAAAACATGTCTAAAAGTGTTATTTGTGAAAATAATGAAACAAAATTTGCTACAGTCATTGATAGGTGTTCAAGTTATTGATTGACATGAATGAAAACGTATAAAGAAAACATTAGATGTGCAAAATTTAAGCAAACTTTGACGATATTGAACAGCGTATTTCACCTATGTGCATATTTTTCAGAAACTTACATTTAGTATTTTCTGAAAGCCCATTCATTGCAGATTCCAAACATATATGCAGCTTTCGAGGCACACCAACGCACACCCATTTGTTATTGTGTTGAAACATGTTTACTTTCTTAAAAACTGTGCGAACCGTCTTGCGTAGAAGTGACCGGGGAAGCGAGTCATTAAGGGGAGGTAACTGATGCCTGACTAAATTGTCCAGTCAAAACATCCCTCTTGTGACTTGGACTGCTTATTTCCCTGGAATTTCTAAATCTAATTCTAACCTTCAGTGCCCATGACCAACTCGAACCTGTAATTCAAACATAAATATCCTGTCACGTAAACGTACCTGGCAAGCTTTTCTCGATTAAATTATCCTGGGCAAAGAATGTGTTGCAGTTGTCAAGGGAGGCAGAGTCCATGGCTGGGCTCCCCGCACACTTCATCCATAGTCCACAATCACATTTCTCACATTTACACAGGCTGCTGGCAATGTCAACGCTGCTGTCACGAAACTTGAGCCAGTTGGGTGTGGCAAATGCTACGATTGTTGCCACAGTGGTGAGGAGCACACATATTATAGCTGTCACCACCACACAGGATGCCATGGCCTGGAACAAAACAAAAACTGTTACCACGGTTACCACACAGGAGGCCATGGCCTGGAACAAAACAAAAACTATTACCACAGTTACCACACAGGCCGCCATGGCCTGGAACAAAACAAAAATAATCATGGCTTCCACACCAAGGCAAAAAACCTTGTAGATTCTATTTCAGTAACTCCTCAGTGTCAATTGGTTCTTCTCTGCAGCAGGGGTCAGTGGGGTAGCACAGTGTATAAATCGTTCACTTATCACGCCAAAGGCCCTGGCTAGCTATTCTCAAAACGTTTGTAGCCCTACAAACTTCTTAAGCCCATTATTAACACATTGGCTACGATCAAAGTTAAGAGTTCTTAGGGCTACGAACGTTTCGAGAATAAGGGCCCTGGTTCGATTCTCCCATGGGTATTATGTGGGAAGGCCATTCTGGTGTCCCCTGCTGTGATATTGTTTGAATATTGCTGAAAGCGACGTAAACACATACTCCTTCACTCACTCTCTGTAGCAGGTGCTTCAGGTTTAGAGTATGGACTCGACAATCCAGTGGCTGACAAATCAAGAATCAATCTACAGATGTTGTACAATTATCTTTTCATTCCCTGAACTGAGATGTCTCCAAAAGCCTACCAGAGAGGCACGATGCCAAAGACAGCTCATTTTATAACAGAGATACAGATAAGCTAATTTACACAAACATTTATGTGAAAACTCATTTCTTATTAAGTCTATTGCGTACAAGTACGCTTGAATTTTTGTAAATACTCAATAAATGCGATCTTACATGAGTACACACAAAAATGTCAAATTTTAGCTTGCGTATGTGTGGATAGATAAGACAACTGAGGTATATTGAAAGGATCTATTTCAGGACATGAACAAAACTTGCAGTCTTTCTTAGCGTTTGTCATATTACAGATCAAATATAAATAACAAACACTAACATTTAAACTTTATTATATTTTTAAAATTAATGGAAAATGGCAAAATACCTAATTGAGCCTGAGTGAGGTGAGTACAATTTATTTGGTTACTCAAAGCAAAATTAGGATGCCCAATTGAGATGAACAGAAGCGAGTACACAACTCAATGACCCAAAAAGTTATCTGTAGCTCTGTTATAAATAACTGACACTAAAAACAAGTTACATGAAATACCTGACATGGCGAAAACACCTGCCTGATGGTTGTCACAGACACACTGCAAGGACACAAAATACCCTCTTTGACTGTAGATGCATCTGGCAGCAAAGTGGCATCTCACTACAAGCACACTCCACTTGCTCCATCAGTGAACTGAGTGCACCACATCATCAGACATGGATGCAAGGCTGGAGGTTATCCTGCACGCCTCACCATATCTCTCTGGTTGTCACCCGTTTCACAGGGCACGCAAACTAAACTGTTGTATCAATTTGATAAAAACAGGACTGTTTAAACATATTAATGTTTACATCTTCAAAACTTCAGAGACACAGATCTTGTTTCAGGACTTTCAAAAATCAACACATTCATCCAGAAGTTGACAGACATGGATGACTATCACCACGATGACTGTATTAACACAGGGCACAGCTGTCAGTCTGTGCTACAGACACCTCCACATCCTGGTCCATACAACAGTTTGTGTAGGGGATTGTTAAGGAAAGTAGTTATTCTCTAAACATTTAAGAGTGTCGAAATTGTCAAAACACTGTTAATATATTATGCAATTGACAGGAGAAAGCAGAAAGACGTTTGAGGTGGCATGTTTATATAGGACAACATGCCCTGATATTCACAATGTAAGCTTTGTATATGTGACACTGATGGAGCACAGTGGGGAGTTTGTATAAGATAAGAATCACTCCACATTTCAAGAATATTTACTCATAATTTAGCACAGGATGTTTTCATGAGTCTATAGTAAGACATGGGCGCAAAACAATCTCATGTAGACAACTGTAATCAACACACACTGTACAAACACGCTCTGACATTTGACTGTTTTTCCTTGTGTAGAGAATACTAGCATATCGTTTGATTCAAGGGTCACAGGTCGAGCCTAGTGCCAGTTATACACACAATTACACATCAGCAACAAGGAAAGAACTACCGTGGCCGAATTACTTTGGAAATGGTATGATCTAAGTAAACATTCTCGCACAACGAGCACAAATTTACCAGAGGCGTGTTTACAAACATCTGGTAAACAAACTCCCGAGTTTAACAAGAACATCGTTGAGGACCTGGCCCTCACAGTACAAAACTGTCAACACGTAGGTATTTATGTGGGACATAGACAGACATAGCGAACAACAAAACATTTTAATTCAACATGACCATAAATGGCTTTCCCAGCCAGATAAGGTGCCCCCCCTCTGCAATATCTGCCGTACCGTCACAGCCCGCTGCACGCTTTTCTGAAACAGACTATAACCAAATCCCCTGATCCCCTTTATAAAAATCTAATTATTTTCAAAACAACATCAAACTACTTTCGTTAGCTAATATGTCTGACAAGTAATGACATGAATACAAGTAGTTACGCACGTAAGAGAGCAGAAATCCTTTGTCTGGGAAAATCCAAAGCGAGCTGTAACTCAAGAAGCAAGCTTCGCACGCCTCTGAACTTGAGCGTGAAGCTTAGAAACCAAAACACTGCCGATCCACGGAAAAGCCTTTGTTGTTTACACTCCAAATTCAGTAAGTCGACAACTTAGGGGCTGACAAAACGTATTTCCACACAGGTCGATGTAAGGCTGCAGAATCAAGAGAACAACATGAGTATATTCCTCGGACACACAAATCTACCGTTATCCTCTTCCCGCTTCCTGCATTAAACTGCTTGACAGATCACTTCACGATACTGAATGCTCCCGCGTGCAGGGAGAACTCATTATTTCCTGGCTGTAGGTGTGCCCAGTAGGCTATGGGAGTGGTTGGTATCTATAAGTATATTGTCAGCCATATACATAATACCAGTGAGTAATTACGTAATTAATCGTCAGACGAAGTGAAAATGGATAGGTGTGTCTTTAATTGTTATAAATGAACAAGATCTATACAATACAAACTTTTGAAAGGGTCGGGTAAAATATTTTCTGTATGAGTACGATCATGAAGACAGCTTTGTATGCTCACGGTGATTTTGACTTCTTGTTTGGCAAGAAAGTACAAATCATCTGAAATAAAGCGGAAAACTTCGTTTAGAAGAAATCATGGTCCCAGCTATATTACACCCCGGGTTAACCGTACCTCGAGACAACCGGACCGTAGAGTCTGTAAATAATGGTTGTCACCCCCTTCAATTTTTTTTATTGGAGAGGGGGTGGGGTTAGGGTGGGGAGGGGGGTGACAACCATTATTGGCATGAGTATATTTCTTATATAGGGACATATTGTCTTTTGAGTTTAATGATATGCCGAATATTTGGAGCTCGAGTTCTCTTTGATTGGCATTTTAGAAGTTTGTTTTTGTTTATCTATTTAATTAATATATTTAATATAATAAAATGAAAGGCATTTTAGAAGTTAATAAATGATAAAGAAAGGTATGGATCAGGGGCGCAGCTACCATTATTAAAAAAAGCCCGGGCTTACACATGATTGTTGCTAAAAAGGTTGGGCAAGCCCTCAATACTATTTCAATATTAAATTTTGCAACCTATCGGGCTTACACGAAAAAATTGGCTTGCTACGCGCCTGATTTTTATACCGAAACGTCACATCATAATATGATAAAAAAATCGTCGTCATCGATAAAGTATCATACTTTTCTTATTAGATTTTATAAGTTGGAGAGTAACAACAAGCTACTCGTGGATGACAACGGTAGATGAATATGTACAGATACTAAACAAGGTGTCATCCATACAGCTTCTTCAAGAGATTCCTCTTAATCATACTCGTCAGCTTCTAAATGCCGCTTAAACCATACAATAAGGACAGTTACACGGCCGTTGGTGATATGCCGAATAATAGTCTACAGAAGTATGCGAGACGTAAATGACCCTAAGTCGCCATCATTCCGCCATTAAGCACTATCGAGGACGCGACCACCACGTGTATTACAGAAGTTCAAGCGATGCTACAGTGTGCTCCTCCTTGGGGGTACATATACAGTCAGACTTGGGGGTTTACTGTGCTGTTGTATGCTGATGGCCTTAGTTTGTTGGAGGATACCGTCACTGGTTTACAGAGACAGACTGATATTTTATTTAATTTTCTTTACACATTTGTTGTAATTATTGGGGCCGAGAAATCCTAACTTTTGATATAGCTAAAGTTGGTACCAGTTGAAACAGACAGCAAAACACGAGAAGTTAACACCACTATGTAGGTATTTTGTTCTCAGCTAGACGGAGATGGCGGGGTGGTTGGGTAGCCTAGTGGTTAAAGCGTTCGCCGAAGGCCCAGGTTCGACTCCCCACGTGGGTACAATGTGTGAAGATGTGTGTCCCCCGCCGTGATGTTACTGGAATATTGCTACAAGCGGCGTAAACGTGACCTAACTCACTCACTCACTCTCAGCTAGGCCAACGTGGACAAAGTGAACTGCTATTTTCGGCCTGGTAAAGTAAAGGTGGTAAGCCGAATAAACTGTTCATTATTACCATGTATGCCTGAGAGTTTAATGTTCAAGCTGTATATATATGACTGTGGTAGATTAGTATTTTGGCCGACTGTGGTAGATTTGTATATCCATAGAACTGTCCTTGTTGTTCATCACACCAACTTCTAAATGCCACTCAAACAAGTTACTTATATTTCACTCGCTGCCACTAACGTGTAACATGAGAGGGGAAAGTGAGAATATGACATGGGGAGTGTTTGAATATGTTTCCAAAGAAACCGAAATCCATTTTTATGTTTGAGCGTATAACCTGTCATACATTATTGTTATATAGATTAATTAGCAGTAATTGTACACATATCATTAGCAACTGTTCAAAGTACATTGTAGAAAAATCTGTAACGTCTCACTGTCTAAAATATATTGTCATCGAAATAATTGTTACTGTTTGACCATTTAAAATGTGTCTTTACTTTGTACAGGGGTCAGAGGGCAACAAAACCGAAATCCAATTGAAATTAGATATATACTCAATTGAACAATGCATGTGACGTCATGCCATCCAACAAGCGCAGTGATCTGTTTGATGTGACTCTACATAAATAAACCTTATCTATTTTCGCTGCGTCTCCATGAATATGATACAATATATAATTAGATTGGTTTCATAATTAATTATTCACTCATGCCGTTAATCGCCTGTCCTGCTCTACGTGATTGTAGCGGTCAACGACATATCATGACAGGAAGACCATATCCACAAACGCATGTTAATAAAGGTCATGATGACCCAACCAGCTGCTGTAAGGACAATCTGTACATGCAACACATCAATTTAGATTATTTACGATCCATTATGACGCATTGCTCTCGACCAGACAAGATCGATAAGACTGTTTAGATAGATACGTTAACCACCTGTTGAATTCCGTTAACAATAATTTTCATAATGAAAACTCAACACAATTAATAAACTGATGTGCAAAAGAAAGTACACAGGTTGTGTTTTTTCCAATAAGATAAAAATAACAAAACCTTTTGATGAAATTGAAAATGTATGTTGAAGCACACTGCAATACACGTGTTTTATCAGCAAAATGACATTGTAACAATAAACAGCGATGTAGTGATGACCACTGCAGACGGTTCCTACGATGCTGGAAGGTCAAGGCCATTCCATGCAGCGGTCGGTAGGCCCATACATGCCAGCAGGACGAAGTCGTCTTGTCACTGTGAATCGGCTTACACGATGACCCAATGATGTGGCTGCTGATGACGTCACCGTCAACATCCAGTTGCGTAGGTGAATAACCCGCAGATAGCGATCCTCTTGGGGTGTTGTGACTCTGGAACGTCCACTTCTGGGTCGATCACATGTCTGGCCTGCCGTACTGAAACGGTAAAACAGCCGAATTATGGTTTGTCTTGTGCAACCCAATGTCCTTGCAATATCGCTGTTGAAAGCACCCATTTGTGTCATTCCTTTGGCCCGTTCTCGTTGAGCCAACGTCAATCTTGTTCACGACAAACAGGTTTTATACTCTCTGTCAGAAAAGTGCTGGTGCATGGGACAATAATCACAATTTTGCAAAAATTCGTGCAAAACACGTACAAATGTTTTTGGTTGCATTTTGGCAAATGAAACATGATGGTTGCGTACTATACAATCAATGTTTTTCAATAATTTTATTAGTTATAACGCATATTTGGGATTGCAACAACAATTACAGCTGTGTACTTTCTTTTGCTCGTCAGTTTATATTAATACAGAGCACTTGAAACTATAGCAACAATCCGTGAAAAAAACTCAGCTGTGATCATTGCGTAAACTTTCTCTCACTCTTTTACTCTGATAATGACGTTAAGCCCTCACTCACTCTGATTACGACTTAAAACTTCACTCATTACCATCTCTCACTCACTCACTCAGATAATGACGCTAAACCTGTTAACGTCATCTATGTACAGAGCATTTCACTCTCTGTTGTAGCGCCCAACTTATCTCCATGTGACGTCACCACTTCCTTCTGTAATCAGCCGGTCTTCTATATAGTTACACAAACTGTAATCACTATGAGCTGTGATTCACTCAGTTATTTACATAGTTGGCAGGTTTTCCTCATAGTCAGTTAACATGAGAAGGAACTTCACACGCATATTCTGAACATCAGATACTTGCACTTACTGGCCCACCGAGGCTTCAAGCACGCGAATAATTTCCCTTCTTTGATGACGTAAGAAGTGACGTCATCACAAGTGACACCGTGAACGTACATTTGTTTGTTAGGGAGAGGAATGGGTGTATTGAGGACACTGAAGCCCGTATCATAGCAACCTATCACCCAGTTCTGAAAGTCATACACTGGTTACCTATAAAGGAATCAACCGGGATCCGAAACCACAGTCCCTTTTTTCCTTCTGGCAGACCTGCCTGACATGACACGTGATGTCCGGGCACGTGAAACAGGTCAGCCGAACGTACCCGAGTTTAGGGACATTATAAGTTGTTCAGTGGCACGAGGGGGTGTTTGTATATTGGCATGGGTTGATGTACCATCGATGTTTGTTTGTTTATGTTCCCTGAGCCCAAAGGCTCCATGAAGTACAGAATGAGTTGCCATTGACAGCGGGGTACATTGAAATGTTACTCGTTTGTAAGCGGGGTACATTGAAAATAATAGAAGAGCGCTCAGCCAATCAGAAAGCAACATTTATGTGTGAGCTAAGATAAATGGGTTTGTTTGGTGGTCGCGATAGAATGTGCAATCTCCGAGTTGCGAGCAGGTACAGATATGAAGAAGCGTATAGTTGTATATATTATAGTTTGTTTCTTGTTTAACGTTGCACTCAATAATATCCCAGCTATATGGCGGCGGTCTGTAAATAGTCGAGTCTGGACCATACAACCCAGTGATCAACAGCATGAGCATCGATCTACGCAATTGGGATACGATGACATGTGTCAACCAAGTCAGTGAGAATAAACCCGATCTAGTCGCCCCTTACAGCAAGCATGGGTCGATGACGACTAACGCTAACCCGGATGTTCACGGTGTGTTGTATATAGAGAGAATCCGTTCTTGAAATCCCCCGTCGTTTTAACATCAATATACGGATGTTGACAATATTTGATAAATTTAGTTTTCCACGTTTGTCTTTATTCATGCTTAGTTTATTTTGTCTCATTTTGTCATCTACGATTAGTGTCTATTTCCCCTAACATAAGATAAGGTTCCTTGATATTTTGCCTACGTTTCGCTGTACAACGCCAGTCTCACAGT